TTGATGTTTTTGTGAACAGGTATCTGCTATACTTAATTGACCTGTTATCTAAAGGCAAGGCTAAATCAGCATAATTACTGATATTATGTTGCTACATGATAAATATCTGTTCCAACAGAAGCAGAGTTAGATTGAAAATTTGAAACTTAAGTTCTAAGACCAAATGCACAGGATAGAGAAAATTTTGCATTGTCCTTCTTCACGTTTTTCTGTAGCCTGTGTATATTTCTTAGGTTAGGTTATTTATAGCTCAAAATCAGAGTCTCATTGTGAGCTGAAGAAATCATTAAATATTATATTATTATAATTATTATTATATTGGCATATTATAAATATAAAAACTAGAGTTGTTAATTAATAAGGTAACATCTTTTTGGAAGCCATGTGTAAGGGGTTAATAATTTTTAAAAAAAAATCATTTCAAAAGTATTAAATTTAAAAAAAAATCATTTAAAAAAAATGCATTTGTTGTTTAACCTCATTGCCTTAACTTCTTGATGTTAAACTATATTTATAATATTTCTTCTTATACCAGAGCCCTCCCAGGGAAGGCCTTCAGGGTGGTGAAATGTCCATAGCACCTGCCAGTGCTAGCTCCATTGTGAGGAACTGACTAGGATTTTGTGCTGTAGAGTTATAATTTGATTGACACTTGAGTGTATATGGATCTTGCTTGTTGCATGTTTTATGGCTAATCTTGGTGCAAAAGGTCTGGCAGCACATGGAAAGTCTGTACATAATACAAGTAGTCGACATGGATGTAAGTGTTACATGCATATTGTCTGTACCAAGAGACTTAGATATCAACTTTTATGACTGCCTTCATAAAATAGATAAACACAGATGTCCACTGGAATGTTTTCAACATTACTCATGTCAGTATTTTTTTTTTCAGTAAGTAAATTTAAGCTGTGTGCCTATCATATTTGTTTTGTTATAAGTAATCTAACGAAAGAATGGATGGCAACCATTTGGGATGCTGTTGTAGCATTCATACTTTAAACAGTGATGCATGATTTTGGAAATTTCTGTTCTTTAAAGAGCACTCTAATAATAAATAGCTGTTTGATCAGCAAAGGATTTACATCTCGTGTAGATCTTGATTAGGTTGTTAATTCATCTCATGACCTTTGTTTTGGCTAATGGAGCTTCACTTTTTATCATCAATATATTTGTCAATAGCAAGGAATGCACCACATTAGCCTAGTCAGTTCTCTCATGTGAGAGCCCTGTTCATGGTCATTCCTACTATCTAGTTCATAGGATTTTGGCCAGTGCCAATATAAACTTTGGCTTTTGCTTTCATTTAGTTCTGTGAGCTGTCACTCAAATGACTTTTCTGGCATTAGCTTTTCTTATGTTTAATACCGGTTCAATTGAATTTTCCCTAAAATAATTACCTGGCAAATAAAAAAAAAATCCTTTCCTTGATCTTTTTAAATTATTGTTTGAAATTATAAAAATTACAAAAAATTCAATGATTGAAGAGCATTATGTCTTCAGCATTAATATGTATTTTTTTTTTAAAGCAACATCATGGTTTAAAATCATAAATGTACAAATTAAATTAATCAAGTTTTTTTTTCCACGTTCCATTGTTGTTGATATCCTTGAAGGCAAAAAAAACATCCAAAATGATATAATTTCATGATTGTCAAATATAGTTAAAAATAACTTCTTCAGAAAACATTCAATTACTTTAAGCAAAAACTTGGTTTCCTCTGTTTATTTTATTACTAAGATTGTTTTGTTCTTGTATCAAATTATAATTTGGGCATTCTACAAAACAGTTTCATTTTATATTTTCGTTTAGATTTTAACATGACAAACTAGTTCCTAATCTAAATTATCTTTTGGTACTAGTCATAAGGATCCCTAACTTTAAGATATTTACATAAAATTAATCACATCATATTTTAATCCTTAATAATTTTTCATATTTTTATTGAGTGGGATCAGTGTATCAGTTTTGTGAAAATTCATTGAAATTGTTATATGACTATGTTAGAAAAACCATTTATTTTGCTGTGGTTATTTTCTGTTATGTTCTACTATTATAAATTCCATTTTGTAAATATCAGGCTGTTATGATTTTGATTTCATTTTTTCCAAGCCAAGTATGTTCTCTCATTTGAAATGTATTTAAACTAAACTAGTTGTAACTGAAAATCAGGTTTTAAAATGATAAGAGGTATGTGTTGCTTTTTTGTAAGATCATGTCAAAATTTTTGTATTTAGCTACCGGGTATCTTAATAATATCAATAATGTTATGAAATACCATTTTCAATATAAATCTTTCAGCTACACTTAAAGTGCTTTTTTTTTTTACTTGAAGAATTGTTAGGCCAGATGTGTGATTAAGCACTTACTATGCTTTCTTATAAAACAGCAATGTCATTTATTTTACTATCTCATTCCTTTGCAAAAAGTTAAGACAAAAAAACTTAGCATTTCTTTCAAGAAAATAAAAAATATTAAGCAAATTGCCCATATAAAATACATATACTTAAAATGTGCTCTTGAAATTGAAATGTCCTTTTTTTTTTCATTTGTATATTCCAGAAACCCTGCTATAAATTGTGAAGAATTTTCAAATTTTCAGTATATTATCAAAATATGAAGTAACTGGTACCCATGAATTAATCATCACCAGCAACCAAATGTTTGTTATTTGTACTTTAAGTGCTTCATGTGGGCTTAGTTCCTCTTTAGGAATCATTAATGTCATAAATTTGAAATCTTCAAAAAGACTGCATAAATCATTATTAGAATTAGATCTGTTTTAAGGTAAGTTTTAAAAAACAGGCTATAACTGACTATTCAAATGAGAGCAACTCATACTATTCTGACCCAAATTATTACAATAGTGTGGTGGTATCTGATGCCCCAATGCCACTTTACCAGACGGACTTGTGGAACTGTATTATTGAGAAGTTTAAACACTTGAAGACTCCTCAGAGTAGTCAGAGCATACACTAGTGCAAAACCTCCTTTGACAGAAAATCTGGAAACAGCCATATATTTGACTGTAGATGTTTAGGGAACTGTTATACATACACTTAATGACTGCAGATGTTAAGGGAACTGACAAACGTATATTTCATAATGATTTTTTTTCCAGCTTCTGATAACGCACAATATAATTTAAAAATTAATTTGATTGAAAAGTGCTGCTTATTTTTTGTGTCTTGTCAAAGACATTTTTTTACATAATCTGTGTTATACTAGTTATAGCAAATGTGATTTAGTACATAAGGAAAAAAATAACACAATGTAATAGAGCCCATTTCTTAATATTTATAAGTTAAATATGAAAAGTTTACAACTAATTTCTGAAGTGACATGAACTATCAATACTATTATTATTATATAAAGACCCTTTTTTTTGTTTTGGTTAATTTTTTTATTATTTTGTTTAGCTATAAAATTTTATTTTTTAAATTGCATGGCATTTATCTAAAATAATCCTGTTTTTTGGTGATGTGCGAAATCTTTTAAGTATCCTATCTTCTTTAAATAGCAAGGATAATTAAAATAACCAATAAAAAACAATTTACTACGTTTCAAAATGAACTGCATGTTGTATATCAGATTGAATATTTTCAATTTCTTAGAATTCATGATAACTCAATGTAAATGTAAGTATTCCACGAAGTAGCCAGGACATACAATAGTTGATGTCATTTATTGGGTTGAACATACTTGATGATAAATTAGAAAAAATATTTGAAGATGACTTTTAATCCCATTTCGAAATAACTGGGTTGAAAGCTGAAATAAGATGTCCTCAGGGAGCATGTATCTCTGTGTTCTTATTTCTGTTACTCAACTGATTGGCTGCCACTTTAGTCAGGTTTTTTTTTCTCTCCATTGTTCTGTTGGAATGTTTGCCACAGTCATCAGTTGCTGCTAGTGGGAATGCTTGGTCAGTTCACTACTACATGTGTGTACAGAATGGGCTACTGAAATTAAACCAATGATAACCCTTTCTCAGATGTGTTGACTTTTTTGTTTTTGATTTGGACACATCATATTTGTTAAGTGCAAGAGAGTTATAGGTTTCAGTTTTAGAATTAGTGATTGTCATTTCAAAATATATATTTCTGCAACATCATCTTATTTTCAATGTGAATGAGGTACTCATAGTGAAGTGCACCATCTAAATATTTTAAATATACTTACCAGTATAGTATATCCTTAAAAAAATATAATAAATACCGGTATCGTGAGTTTGTTATACCTTTGAAAAAATATTAGGCTTAGACAATAATTTTTAAAATCTTACAGGTAGACAGATACACAACAAGCCCTTAAAACTAAAACCAGTGAATTTTTAACGACATGATGATTAAATGGCAGATAAAAGCTAACCTGGTGATATGAAAACTGAGAACAGCTCGCAAAAATAATAATAATGGTGGGCGAGAGGGAGGGGTGGTATGGAAAGAAATGAATATTTGTGTCGATATTGATATTGCAAGTGTAAGTAAGACCGGGTGGAGTCATGTACTGAATTAAAATGGTAAAGATATATAATATATGAAAGCCAACAAAAAGGAAACAAAAGTGCGAGTAGCGAATTCTGCGGTGGATTCTAGACTATCTATATTTAATAAAAAGCAGATAATGAAAATACAAAGCACTAACAGTTTCTACTTAAACAGAGTCTCCCTCAACCAACAAACACATTAACTTGTATTTAATATTATTAACACAGGTTGTTAAGTGGCGGCTCAAACTACTGAACATCATATTCATGTATGCGAAAAGTAACATTAACATGAGTTGTAGTGAGGTGGTCACCTTCCTGCCTACTGGTAACTGGCACTATTTACTCATAGTAATCGAATATCATTGACAATAAAATCAATGTCAATAAATTATATCGATATTTTTCTTGGATTGAAATGTTTGTAAAAAGTTAAGCAAGCCAAAAAATTTAGAAGTGACAGTGAATAAATTAAGGTACGTGCTTGGTGCATGGGTGCTCTTCAGGCTCAGAGTTACCTTGGGTATCTCAAAGTCAAACATGGCGACGGACTCAGTCACAGATTTGAGAGAGAAACTACATAAATCTCACCATCGTACCAAAGAGTTTGAAAAAAATGTCAAATCAAAACATAGAGTTCACCATGGTGATATTAAGAAGAATGCACCACGATCAAAATACGATGATTACAACACAGAAGAACGCGAGGAAGAGCTTCAAAAAGTAAAATCTGGAATCCAGCAACACAGATTGTTTTCGATAGAAGATTGCATGGAAATAGAAAAGAAAATAGACAAGGTTGTTAAATTAAGTGACTTGGGTCTTTACAAAGAACACACAGTTGATAGGTAAGATAATAATTAGATATCATTTAATGCTCTATCCTAAAATGACCAAAAATCATTAAAAGTGTATGAGACCCACAGACTCAAGCCCATTCACCCTAAAATGCCAATGCCAGCAACCAAATCCAATCACAGCAAAATATGCCATATCATATGAATAAAATATTTTTTGAAAACTTTGTTACTTAGCTGAAAGGCGCTTAGAAGTGCAATAATGATAATTAAAGGGCTGTTTACAATTCAACAATGGCTTTTTTTGGGTTTGAGTTATTCAATTTATGATTATTTAGAATGTAGACCTACTCTGCAACTGACAAAACTTGGAAAAATTATACATTTAAAAATTGCTAACATAAAGCAGTGAGTAACAGTGAGCAATTGAGTAACAGTTAACCCGGGGAACAAAACCTACTATTGCATGTCCTGCATGGGCAGACAAGGGACATGCATGGTACATACCAGAAATAAAACAGCACCTACAGGGCTGCCAACTGTGACACTCATAGTTGGAAGTAAAGGCAGAGATAGGGTAGGGATCATGATTACAAGTTGCAGTTAAAGGATATGAGGCTAGAGGTGAAGGTGGAAACCTAGCCTATAATTCTAATTATCAGCCCCGAGAAAGCTGCTCCTAGGCAAACTAGTTGCGTGGTAGAAACCCTCTTATAGGGCATCTGATGCTTCCCCGGAATGGATGGGTGAAGATGGATGGACATAAATTACCATCCTGACTGGCTGAGAGAGTGGGCTGCGAACACTTTAAACTAGGGGTGTGCCGGATCCGTTTTTTCCAACCGGATCCGGATCCGGATTTTCTTATGCGAAATCCGCCGGATCCGGATTCCGGAATAATCCGGATTCCGGAATAATCCGGATTCCGGTTTCTCCCGGATTCCGGATTTGGGTACTATTGGTAGATACTTCGGTAAGTCAAGGTGGACTACTACTTTTTGTGTATGGGAATTCGCAATCGGCGCCAAAAAATCCGAGTTTTTAATTTTCCGATTGTGTGTCTATTTATTATTAAATTAGTACTTTCGATATATATTTGAGTTCCGTTCCATTTGGATAAGTGTCTTACGAGAGACGCCATGTTTCTACGCGTTCGCAGCAGGCCATGCAGCTCGCTCAACCTAATTTCGCCATGGGGTTGGCCACGCCCCCCTTTTTAATGGCGGAAGTTGACGATATTTAGGAAATATTAATATATTATCACTATTTACATCAAAATAATTGATAACTTGTGTTTCAGAATGCATTTAAAGACATTTAAACTGGAATGTTTTAATTTGAGCTTTAACAACCCGGTAGAATCCATATTATAAATGATCAGAATTTACCGTGTGCAACACGTTGTCATTGGCAACCATTCACAGCCACTTGCATAACTGTATCGTAGTACTACCTCAGAGTTTCATTCATAAGAGTTTGCCGTGTGCAAAAACTATTAAACCATTGGTCAGGGAAAGCTTTAATTAATTATTCATGTGCCAAAGTTGAAAGTTTAAACTAAGTCTAAACAGTATTTTAGTGATAAGGCAGGGAATGCGTTGCCTTATATAAACTATATAGTCATTGCGCATGACGGGATTGGCGGAATGAGATCACAGAATGTGGAGATGCAGTCCATGTTAAAAAATGACAAACCAAGTCGTACTTTAAAAATTCATAACTTTAAAACTACAACAGCTAAAAATATGATTTTGGTGTTATAATTCTTTAAAAAATTACATCTTTTCAACTATGCCATTGGTTTATTTTTACAAAAAGTTTAAATTTTCTTATCAAAGTCCCTACACTATTGGCCACTATTAGCGGTGCTGACTCTAGCCTCTGGTATGTACGGAATATTAAACATTAAACAAGCTCAACGCTCGAAACAATCGATTAATGTATCGTGATCGTGTGGAATTCGGGAAAGAGAATTACTTTTATTTCAGATTATGATCCGGTGAGTCACAAAATTTGGCAAATTCCGAAATCCGGTATATTCCGGAATCCGGTTGTTCCGGATACATGTAAATCCGGCGGAACCGGATTTCACCGGATAGTGCAACATCCGGCGGAACCGGATTCCGGACCGGGTTCCGGCACACCCCTACTTTAAACGCAGCGTTTTCGGTTGACCGGGTGGGGAAAGCTTCCATCCGCAAATCTGATCTAGCAGGTGGAAGCGGTTCAGGGAAATTCCTGGTGTACCGCCGCACGTCCGTCATCAGGGAGACCCGGCTTCTGGGCTGTGTGGAGGTGCGTCAGGTAGGGCATTAAGAGCTCACCCTCGATGGCTCGCAGATGCCATTTCTTAATGAACATATTTAGTTACAGTAACAACAGCTGCAAAAAATTATTCAAAATAATGAAAACCCAACTTAAAGTTTCATTGAATATACAAAAGCGTGTAACTGTAGACACTGGTACACAAACTCATGGTTTTAGGGTTTACATTAGGTGTTAGGTCATAAATTTTAGATTTGAAGATTTTTTGCTCAATGAAAGGGGGACTAAATTTAGGAGTAAATTTACACTCAAGTTAGTGGGTGGGGGCGCACTAAATTTAAGGGGAATTTACACTTCAGTTAGGGATACTTAGTATTCAGGTTAGGTAGAGTTTAGATTTTAGGATTGAAGGTTTTTCTAAAAAAATGATCTAATTAAATTTTAATGTTTTTTTTCTAAATTTTGTCTGTCTTAGTAAGTGTTTAAAACAACACATTTACTTTTTCTATATTTTGAGTGCCCACAATCAATTAATTAACATTACAATTAATCATTCAGGCTACTTGTATGAATTCAGAGTTTGCCCTTTTTTAAATGAGTTGCTGTGCAAGGCTAACCAGTCCCATCCACCCGGGGTGTGAGATGTTTTTGCTGGTCTTGGCTTTGGATTGAACTCCAAACCACAAGCTATTTGGATTGAGTCAGTCTAGACTGCTCGGCCAACCAGCACCCTCTCTCCCTTTCCCCATCCCATTTTAGCATACATGTTTTTGCACTAATTTTTTGTTTATACACAGCTGCCATCTTTGTTCCCATGAAACATTGCCATCATGGCAACAAAGATGGTGGCAGTGGGAATTAAAATTAGTGCAAAAGCACAGGAAAATGAGTGTCGCGTTTTGCATACATTTACCTTTCTTTTTAAATAAATTGAAGCATGTCACTTTAATATATTTTTTACATTTTGTGATGTCCTCAGAGCCCCTTTAAGAAATAAATACTTCTTTGGTGAAGGCTATACATATGGTGCACAGCTTAGTAAACGTGGCCCAGGAAATGAACGTTTGTACAGTAAAGGTGATGTTGATGAAATTCCAAGCTGGATTAACAAATTGGTCATCAGTCCACTTTGTGAAGCTAACGTGATCCCTGAGGGCTTTGTCAACAGTGCAGTGATAAATGACTATAAACCAGGTGGATGTATAGTGTCACATATTGACCCACCTCATATTTTTGAAAGGCCCATTGTTTCTGTGTCTTTCTTCAGCGAGAGTGCATTGAGCTTTGGATGCAAATTCACTTTCAAACCTATCCGTGTCTCTAAACCAGTGCTGACATTGCCCATGGCAAGAGGTTGTGTTACTCTTCTAAGGTAATCTATAGAAGTCTGATCACATATTATCTTGTTTGTTTCCTCACCATGAAGACATTTTTTGTTTCATTTTCAAGATGTAGAGTGCTTAAGTTTTACCTTCTTATTTAAAGTTATTTATTGTTTTCTAAGAAGCAACTCCATTTTTTGAAGCAAAAAGAAGTGTCACTCATGAAAATTTTTAAATACATGTCCTCAAATAGGTAGGTTACAAAACTACTGCCAAAATTATCATTATTATTAGATGGTTTTATATAGTGCAGTACCCAAAGCCTAAGGCTAGGCCCACTGCGCTTCACATAAAAATTAGCAATTACATAAACGTATAAATTTAAAAACAACAATTGGTGAAAAGCTTGACCTCACCCACCCAAGTACTATCTACCCCTGTAAAGCCATGGACAGCACCCAGCAGAATCGAGCGTTGTTTATCAGTCAGAGAGGGGTGAGAATGATTTGGTATAGTACAGTTTGAAGAGATGGGTCTTGGGGGCAGTTTTGAAGGCTGTGATGGTCGTTATATTGCCGATGTGTAATGGGAGAGAGTTCCATTGTTTTGGGGCACAGAAAGAGAAAGTTCTTTCAACACATGTTTTAGTGCGTGTTCTGGGAACAGAAAGAATACGCGTGTCTGCGAAGGAAGGAAGCTTTCAAGGGGTGAATAGTAAGAAGTTCAGTAAGTTAGGAAGGGCAGGAACCAGAGAAAAAGTTGTTACTGAGAACAGATAGCTTCTAATCTATACGTGGCTTTAAGGGGAGCCAATGAAGTGAGTGAAGTCGTGGAGTGACATGTAGGGCTTCAGCCTTCCTCACCACTTACTTTCACTCAGACCTAACTGATGCTCTTCTTTTCCATGCTTGGATTCCCAGCTGCTGTAGGTCTTTTTCCACATCATCTATCCATCTAAGCCTTGGTCTGCCTTTTAGTTGTTTTCCTCTAGGGTTTTGGTGGTGCACCCTCTTCACTCCTATGTCATTTGGCATTCTTTCTTAGTGTCCCGTCCAGCGTAGCCTGCCCTTTTTTATTTCTGCTACTAGTGTGGGATCCTCATATAACCTATACCTTTCCTGACTGGTTCGTATTCTCCATCCATAAGCATCCTTTGTTGTTCCATATTTTTTCCGGAAAACTTTTTTTCCCCATGTGTTTAAGAGGTGTCTGCCGTTTTTTTAGGGTCCAGCTTCACTTGCATATGTTACAACTAGTCTGTTTACAGGTTTTTTTTGTAATTTTTTTCTTTGAGTATTTTGTGACTATTGAAGTATGTCCTGTTTTTGGCCGATATTCTTTCTTTTATTTCTGTTAGTAGTTAATTTTTTTTTTCAATAATTACAATAATTAAGGATCCAAGATATTTCAATTGATTTACTTTTTCAAAAGTGCAGTCTCTAATTTTAATGGTTTCATCTGTGTGTACTCTTAACAAAGTCAAGAATTTTAGTTTTTTTTTTTTTTAACTTCCAGCCTTGCTTTGAGTGATGTGTATTCTAATTTAATAAAAAGCTTTTGATATGTCTTGACTACTTTTCCATATCAGTCCTATGTCATCATTTTATGTAAGATTCTGAAGGGGTTGGATGTAGAGAGTGCTTATTGGTTGTGGGTCTTTGTTTCTCTCTGAAAGTATCCTGTTATTAACTGTTATTGTTCCACGGGTGTAAATATATATGCTTTTTATAACTCTCTAATGTTAGTTTAAATAATATACAAAACAGTGAATGTCCTTGTCTTAGGCCACGTCTAATCTGAAATTCCCTTGAATATTCCCCTTGAACCTTGATTTTGCTTTTTTATCACATTTTTCCCCCTTATAAAAATAACAGAATTTCAAAAGTGAAAAAAATAATTTATTAATTTTTACAAATTGTAAAAATGGATGGGGAAGAGGGTTAATTTATGAAATTTTTATTATTTAAAAAATCAACCAATTAACTCACGATCAAAAGAACAATTTTCAAAATGTGCTCTTTCAAATAGAACCTTTGAAAATTTTATTCATAAGCATGAAATAAACTCGATAAATATTTAAGACAAATCACTACAAATAATTCCACTTGATTTAAAATAAAACTGATCAGAGATTTGTTTAGAGAAAGGGAAACAAATTAAGAAATTGATATGTTTTAGTGAAAGCATTTGGAATTCTCTTATTTAATGTGTGGCCTATTTGAAAATTAAACTAAAAGGATAAATTCTGCTATCAATGAAAGTAATTCAAGGCTTAATCATGCTCACTTCTTTCTTTCAGTGGTTATGCTGCAGATCATATTACTCACTGTGTTCGCCCAGAGGACGTTATTTCTCGTAGAGCAGTTATCATTTTGAGGAGGTACCCAGGCCGTGAAATTGTGCCAATTTTATTCAAAAGATCAATTTTACAGAATTTTAATGAAGATGTTTGCTTGACATAAAATAACATTTTGTGGACTGTTTTAAAAAATAATTAATTAAATGTTGCCTATCCATAATAATATGATGTTAGTATTGTTAGTTTAAAAATTAGAATTACCTTTACCTTTATAATTAAGTTCTCCCCTGAAAACTCATTCTTTCTGTATAATGTTTTTTCCCTACTCATTTGAACTAACCATTCTTTTCTCTGTAGGGTGAGGGATGATGCCCCAAGGCTTGAACCAGTTCTTGAAATAGTTTCACCATCCAGAAAGAGAATTATGCTGGCCTCAGACAGCAGTGATTCCAACAGTTGCCAGGGAGACAAAAATTACTCCGGCTCCAGCAGTGATGACAATGTCAAACCGGTCAAGGTCAACTCCAAAGTCATTTGTCTGTCAGACGACCTGAGCATCAAGGATGGGAAATCAAGTATTCCATGCTCACCAAAGACAGTTAAAAGATAGCATGTTTGAGATTGGCTCAAAACTTCATTTTTTACAAATTTTTTTTTTTTGTGATATTTATTTGGGTAAAATTTATGATGTAAAAAAAAAAAAAACAGTGTTTGGTGAATTGTACTTCAGTAACTATTAATCGTGGCCTTCATAACTGCCCTTAATTTTTTAAAACAATGTAAAGATCATATGCTAAAATTTTGTTTGGTAGGCAGAAGAAACAATTTAAGAGGAGAAAATGTTCCACTCCAATAATTTCTTAACATATGAGTTATTTCTCAGAATTTTGTTAGAAATTTTTAAGACACATCTCCTTTACATTTAAAAGTTCACAAGTTTGATTACTTTAAAATATAATATTTCTATGAAAGTTGTCAGTAAACTCAAACCTTGTAGCTGTAGTATTGTGTAAGCAATGTCAATTAAGCCATTATTTTTGTGAAACAGTGGACTGAAACTGTTGGGACACTGGAAGAGCCGTCAACTGTAAAACTGTAATTAAAAAAAAACAACAAACATTATTTATTTGTCTAATTCGTTCAATACAAATTTAAATCAACCAAAATTCAATGACCAATTGTTTATTGAGAAAATTAACACTTCCTGCAAATGCTTTGAGATACTTATTCCTTAAAAAATGTGTGTATTGTTACATGAATCGATGATTTAGTTTTGAAATCTAAACACTAGTTAATCTGTTGCTCCATTTGCCTAATAAACTATAGGCAAGTATTGTCTAAAACAAATCTTTCATTCAGTAACATTAATGTGTTAAATATTTGATTAAATATATGTTGTGAGTCAGGTGTAAATGGATAACACAGGGGTCAAGGAAACGGGAGTAAATTACCCCAAGTGTGGGGTCAGGTGGAAAATCTGGCAAAGTGGGGTGAGTTTAAGAATACTCACTAACAAAGAAAATTGCTAGAAAAACTTTGAGGGGGTTGGTGACAGGGATTAAAAAAATATAAAGCTAAAAAAGTTCCCTGAGCCCTAGGTTTACATGACTTAGGCCTGTCATACTAACTTGATCTACATGTAATTTTGCCGAGTTTGGGTAATGTCATGCTCTTTGATTATAATTAGCAGAATAATTTATGTTATCCAATGACACCTAATGGAAAAAAAAAATCATGTGTTGTACAGTTACAGTAATTGAGTCATTACAAAAATCAGTTGTTTTGCTCAAAATGTCAGTCATAATATACAATGTGATAAAATGAAACCTTGATATTTGCTTTTGTCTCATTTTCCCACGTGTATGTCTCTAAGTATCTTTTGTTTGCCATAATTCATGTCGAAGGGATGCCTACAAATGTAATGACCCTTTTCCTTTCTGCTTGACCTATTCCCTTTTGGATTCTATAATTATGAATGGGTGTGTTTTGTGTGTGGCAAAATGAATGCTATCATTGTCATATCATCAGTACTTTCAAATCAAATGTTAGGATTATTTTTAGAAATAACTTTAAAAGTTGGTACATTTTATAATATGCAACCAATTTTTTAAACAGTTGGTTGAATCAGAAAAAAAAAGGACTGATAAAGAAGTAAAACAGGGTTAGGGTGGGGGGGGGGGGGTGGGGAAGAGGGTACTACTGGCCCCCTAACCTAGATAAAGAATAATTTTTTTAGGCCCCCTTTTCATGGAAAAGCTTTTGGGCTGGTTTCATTTGTAAATTTACCCTCAAACTCTTAAAATCGTACAATATCATCACAATGTCATTTAATACGTTATTTTCATAGTAAAAAAAACATACAGTATATACAATCTATACACCTCAAAATCGTACATTGTACGCCAAAAACATAAGAGTAAACAGGTCTGCTGTAAGAACTGAATGAAACACCAAAAAAGCAACATATTCCTCCATTACTAAAACCTTTTTTTTTTTAAAGAGGATGATCTTGGTTGCTGGAAATATGTGCTGATGAGATTTTTAATACAAAAAGCACTTGATTTATTTATTATTGGTAATGCCTATAGATAAATGCTGGAGCATTGGCAATTTACAAATAATGATACCATTCAATAGAACTGTAGGCTAAAAGGTTGTCTACATAATGTGACTTATTTTAACCCAAAAATGCACTGTCTTCCCTGAGTGTTGTGCACTGTTTCCCCAGACGCAGTGTAAATTCATTGCCTTCCCACAACACAGTTTAAATGCAATGTCTTCTCTAAGAGACACACAAAAATTAGTATCTCCTGAAGTCTGCAATGAAAAGTTTGTAAGCACTCTTTCATATGTAGCAATGCAAATTCAATTAATTAATTTGAAGAATTTTGAATTGAAAATTTTTATAACATTACTCAGTCTCCATTTAGAATTTATGTCTTTCAAAAAATATACCAGACATTTGGAAACATATTAGACAACAATAATCTTGATGTTAAGATATGATGTGTGAAAAATAAACTTAAATTATTGAACACAAATTAATTTTTATTCAGGTATTCTGAATGAACCAATCAAAGTATAATGTACAGATTCTAGAAAATGTATTATGTACATGCAACATGAGTTTGGTTTTTTTAATTGTTCACAGTATTTTAATTAGTTGACAAGAGACAATTTGAAAGTGTATTTTCTTCTTAAAGTCAATATAAAGCAAAATATTAACTTAATAAAAACACAATCTGTCATACTGGCAATTAAGAAAAAAATTACATGGCCATAAGATATCTCAATAAGTAAACAATGTTTTTGGCATTTTGTTCATCCAGACACACAAATAAACAATGTGCGCGGCACATTGGTTTAAGTCATTTTATAAACATAGAGAAACATAAAATGTGCAGAAAACTTCCCACTCTATAAGTTATAAGGCACACCAGTGTGCACTGTTTGGGAAGGTCTGCTTTCATGACACAAAAAGAAAGGTCTGGTAGAACAGTTGTATAAAATGACAATAACATCTGTTAGCAGCAAAATATACTTAAAAATTTTTAATTACAAACAAAACAAAATTGAAGAACTAATGGACTAAAATATTTTCTGCTGAATGAAACACTACATGAACACTCTTGAACAAAATCCACCTTTCCACAAAATTTAATGTGAGGGCTCTGGAAACCTTTGATAAGACTTGGTGGTAGGAAGACACCCATCTCAATTAAAGTGCTCTTCCATTCCATTTGCCAGCAACATTTGGAATGTTGTGTGTACAGGAATTTACAGAATGACAGACCTTTTCATATTCTTGTACTCCGAAAGAGGGCCATCCAAATTTCTGCAACTGGGGATACAGATCAAAATTATTATTTTATTTAAGAACAGACAAAAATATGATCTTTGAAGATGGCTGTAGGTTTTTTTAATTTGTTGAAACTCTAAATTAAAAAAAAAAAAATTGAGCCATGTTTGATTCTCCCTACCCCTTTTACAATATGACCCACAAGGTTCCTCTCTGAAATGTTTAATAGCCTGAAATTTGTTTTAAAGTTATTGCGATATCAGCTACGGCATCAAATTTGAAGCTTCTATGATGATGGAAAATGCAGGTTTTTCTGTTTTAAAAAAAATATCAAGAAATCCCCCAACCAGGCACCCCAGGGGGGATGTTTTAAGCACTGTCAATTTTTCAAGGGATCTTGACGGCATCAGACTCAATGTTGTCAATTTTCAAGTTTATAGGTGACTGGAAGTGGACCATAAATTGGGATCTTTTTTGTGTGATTTATTGCGACATACCTACTTATATATATCACTACACTTGCTTTATAGTATAAATTTATTTTTAATATTACCTTATTTATATGTAGTGTCAAAAGTTCATCATACCTCAGTACTCAGTAATGGTTGGATGCAACTGAAAAGAATTTTAAATGTAATTGGCCACATTATAAAGCATGTGCAAAGATTCAAACTATAAATTTAAGTAGTGTTACTTTAAGTCAGGGATGGGCAAACATTTTGTGCAGAGGACTGCATGGATATTATAATTTTTTTGGCGGGCTGTTATAGTTAAAAAATTCATTGTGGTTTCAGTAGCAAATAAGCATTGGATATTTCTGTGTATTATTATTTGTCAATTTTACATTGTGCTTATTAATTTTAGAAGGTTTTTACACATAATCATTCAAAATTTGTATATTTTACAAAAAAATTCCACTCTCAAAAGGGCCAGATAAAACATTTCAGCGGCCGCACGGGGCCCTAGGGACAGCAGGTTGCTCACCCATGCTAAAATTGGGGGGGGGGGGGGGGGGGGGGGGGTAGGGAAGAGGGTACTACTGGCCCCCTAACCTAGATAAAGAATAATATTTTTAGGCGCCCGTTTCAATGAAAAGCTTTTTGGCTGGTGTCATTTGTAAAATGCTTTAACTTTATTTAAATAATATAATTTTTAATAAGTTTATTATAATTTGGACAAACAAGTTAAAAAAATTATTTTCATATTACTGAATTATTGGGTCATTTTGGAATTATCCAAGCATTTTTAAACCAAGCTATTTTTCTTCTTGTGTTACCGTGTGGAGTCTTAATTTTGTGAACTTTAACATCTATATTTCATCAGGTAGTGAAGAACATGCATTCTTAACGTGAAACTATATAATATATATTATTATGGTATATGCATACTCGAAGCAGAGGTTTCATATGCAGAGGTCTCATCATGTTAATATTAACAAAAAGTTCTACATTCCCTTTCAAAATAAATTCTTAATATAATTAGTGTCTGACACATCCCCCCCCACCCCCAAACCCTTTTTCCTTTTTTCTTCTGCACTATATGTATAATTAAACATAATTAAAAATGTTTGATAATTTAATGACATTATCATTAGTGTATGACAATATGTTTATAACATATGAGATGCACACATAAATCTGATTAATTTTTAGTTTTTAGAAGAAGACCGAGTTATTTTCCTTTCAAATCAAGTCAGCTTAAACATTACTATTTTACTACAATTACATTTACACACCTACAAAAATAACCACAAGCATTTTAAATTCATTAAAAAAAAATTCTGAAATACAGGAGGAAATCTGTCAGAAATTTTAATTCCCATGTGATTTTGATTTCTCTTTTTTTGCTTGTGGTTTCATTTACACAGTACCGTAACATAGATTCTTAAACTTAAATCCTTCTTCATATCTTTTCTTTTTTTTTTTTTACAA